CAATGTGTCATTCATCAAAAGACACCATTTCATCTTCCATGGCGTTTAACCATTTATCCTTGTGCTCATCCTCCATCGTTTCGTCAAAGCTCTCAGGTTCTCCCCATTAGTAAGTAGCACATACTCACTAGGATCATACTTTGTCGACGGCTTTCGAACTCTCTCTGATCTTCTAACAACAGGTGGGTTCTCGGTAGTTGGTGTTTCATCATGATCGTCACCATTATCACAATTACCATCATCATTATCATGTGTGGGAGCATCTACACAAGGTGTATCAACATTAACCCCACCGATGCAGAAGGAGTAAGCTCTGAATCAATCAAACTCTCAGAACTCTGAGCTGATTTTCTGGGCTTTATTAATCGTTTGACCTTCCATGACACAACATCTTTGCTTCTAATGAGCTTCTTCTCAACGGGCTCATAAAACCTGTATCCAAACCTTTGAAATAACATAAGAAATCTATAGTGAAAATGAATACAAATACGATATTATCAGAGCTCTAACCAGAAGATCAGAGCCCGTCCTCAACGAGCCAAGTCTTGTCTTGTACAAACCATAGCATACATCAAGCTACCAACTGCAGAGGCATATGAAACCCGCACCAAATCCTCTTTCTCTGAATCTGTACTCAGACTCTGTTGACGACTCAATTGAGAATGTGAAGCAAAAGGAATGCTAACAACTTTAGACTTATCCATGTGAAACCTCTGAAGCACCTTCTAAATGTACTACTATTAAGACAAGTGAATCAACCTCTCACCTCTATCTCTGACAATTCTTACTCAACCGCCATCATACTATGATGGATAAGAGAAAAGTTAGGGTCTTTTCTCCTTCCGGGTTGATTTGAGAAAAAAAAGGAATAATTATGTCCTTGGAGCTAACTAAAAGATTAACATTTTTGTAATAACTCGAACGCTCACCCCAACCATAAAAGTTTTATCCATATCATATATAAACCGGTCTTTACTTATAGTACTCTTTTCAATAGGAGCAAAACTATCCATTGCTTTACTTAGCTCGCCTCTATATTCCAATTCTCCCTTAGAAAACACTGTTGGTACAGTTAGTCTTTTTCTTTCCAATCCTGGAAGAGAAAATTGAAATGTTGTGAAGTGGATTTTGAGATATCTTCGAGGGACTTCTAGTTTGAAGATTACCTTTGGAGGTGAGCCACTGCTGATTAGTTATACTGATTCTGATATGGCTGGGGATATTGATTCTAGGAAATCTACTTCGAGTTACTTGGTAACATTTGCAGGGGGAGCTGTGATATGGCATTCAAGGTTACAAGAGCATGTTGCTCTTTCTACCACTGAAGCAGAGTTTATAGCCGCAACGAAGCTTGTAAAGAGTTGTTGTGGATGAACAATTTTCTTGAGGAGATTGGTTTCAAGCAAGATAAGTATGTGTTGCTTTGCGATAGTCAGAGTGTTATTTGTCTCGAAAGAATTCCACATTTCATTCGCATTCGAAGCACATTGATAGGAGGTATCATTGGATATGTGATGTGGTTGCTTCTATAGACGTGAAACCTTCGAAAGTTCATACGGATAATAATGGAGCTTATATGATGATGGTATGATGATGGAATCATTGCCGAGAGGGAAGCTTGAAATTTTTTGGGAGATAGCCGGAATGGCTGTTTCCTCCACCTAGTCGGAGGGGGAGTTTGTTGATTTTCCTCCTAGTTGGGAAACCAAATGGGTTTGGATAAAAGAGAACCAAACCTGGACCACATATTTTAATCCATGAGATTATTAGTGAGCTTAAGATTATGTGGACATTTAACAGGTTCTCTTAATCTAGTTGTTAAAGACAACCGTGAGAGATTAAGACAAGAGAGCAGTGATTTTTGGAGACCAGAGAGGAAGATAAACCATTTTTGTCAGGTTCAGGGAAACGTTTTGAGACTTTTCAGTGCTCCGATCTGGCTGAAATTTTGAGAGAAGCTTTGTGACAGTTATCCTGAGATTCACCGGAGGGATTTGCGTTCCAATGGTTGTTTTGGGAGTTCTCTAGATTTTAGCGTGGCTGTTTGCATCAGCGGTGATTTCAGATTTCAACAGGTGCTGTCTTGAGTGTTTGAGATATGCGACGATGAATTCTTCTCGGTTTGAGCTGAAATTTTTCAGAGGTGTTTTTTACTCATTTGTCTAGGGTTTTTATGATGGAAAACTGATTTAGTGGCCGGAATCCTAGTAAACTTAGAGTGGTTTGGGTCTGCTTATTTCTAAGTTTTTGTATTGCCCTCTAGTGGTGTTTTGTATTGGAGATTGTTCTTTGGAGCCTTAGTTTCTGGAAGAAGTGGTTGTAACTCATATTCATTGGTGATAGTGGATTTTTGAGTGAACTACGGTCATGTGGTTTTTACTCCTCGCATTGAAGAGGTTTTCCACGTAAGAATTTGTTGTCTCATTTACTTTATACTATGCTTCTATATTTTTCTCACAAGTTTACACAAGTGTGGGAAGAACTGTATTCCGCTGCACCATTGTGCGTTTGTTTTTTCCAACAATCAGGCCTTGGATCTTTTAAGCAAAGTTGTAGGCAGTCGGGCTACCTTTCCAATGGAGTTGGAATCAAGTCATTCTGAGCTGTGGTCAGGAAGTTACATATAATTGAACATAAACATATCTCTCAGAAAAAAAATCGAATCTAGCCAATGTGTCTACAAGATCAAGCAGAAAAGAAGGCTTACACACCGATCCAGCCTTGGAGTTATTTATGATAGTTTCTGAAAATTGAGCTGCCTTTGCAATGGAGGTAGTCTTGTGTCATTTTGACCAGTGGCACGAACGTTATAACTGAATGAGCATGAACATATCCGCTTTTTGGTTACTTCCCACGATCACCTACCTCGGCCTAGAAAGAACCCAGTGCAGCTTGCCACGGTTTCTTGACACGCCCTCACTTTGCCTGGTGCATCAGGAAACAACAACCTTGGAGCTTGCCACGGCCACCTGCCTTGGCCAAGAATCCACTCGGTGCAAAATCTCCACACTTTCACCGATCACTTCCCATGGGGTGAAGATCAAGCTGTGGCAGCCTGTGAAGTCTTCAAGAATGTGCCACGTTCTGGTGCCACAGGAAGAGAAGAGGTCGTGGCAGACATCCTTGACCCAGCTTTGACCGGGTCAGTACCCGGTTTGTTCTAGGTTGATCCGGTCTGACGACCCTTTGATTATATAAAACTTTGATCTAATTTTTCTTGGACATTTTGTTTTCTCTAAAGAAACATTTCCAGGTTGATCCGGTCTGACGAGCCTTTGTATTGATTTTTTTTAAAAGTTTATGCAATTTAGATTTCTGTTTTATATTCATTTCATCTTTTTTTAATTTTTAATTATGATTAATATTTCATCTTGCAAAAGATTAAGAGTGTTCTTTATGATTAGTGATTAGTCTTTTTAGAGTTTTTGGATGAGGTAGATTAGGGGTTTTCTACGATTGATTCATGATGTCTAGGGCTTAGTTTATTATTTCCTTCTGTTCTTTAGTGATCCTAATGCAAGATTTGCTTGAGAAAATTTATCTAGATAAAAGGGAATTTCACACCCAAAAATTGTTTGATGAAATTCTCCAATAAACTAGATATGAGATTTTACTTGCTTAGCCTATGAGAATAGATGTTTAAGGAGTATTATGGCTAATAAATTTGATTAAAAAGATTGCAATTACCTTTTTCACTAATGAGAATTAGATCTTGATTAGGGTAGTTAACAAAGTGATTAATGCCATGAGAATGGATTAGTCTTGTTTCTTCTAAGACATCTTAGGTTAATCATAACCTCATCCAAGATTTTGCTTTTGTCATTGCTTTATCTTGCTTAGTTGTTAAATTGCTTTTTTCATTTGAATTCGCTAGGTCATTAGTGGCAACACCAATCTTGTTGCTTAACACATTGAGTTCTATGGATTTATACTGTCTAATTCATCTTATTTGGATTGATCCTGAAGTTCTACAATGATATGAGTAGACTTTGGTAATTGATTTAGATCCCAAAAAGTCCTACATCAGTATACTGTTTATAAACTCATTTTTTCTCTCAAAATAAAATAACATTGGAGAGGAATTTCCCTCATTTTTGACATTTCCCTCAAATTTAGGGACCATTGGAGATAGTTTTAGAAACAACATATCCAGCGTAATCTTGGGCACAAGCATGTTTCATCTGTAAAAGAGATACCATATCATCGATATAAAAGATCCACGTCTGAAGTTGTATAGATTTAGCCCCAGTTTGGCATGAAGATTGTAAAAAGATCATGAAATCGGCCAAACATGCTTGTGCCGAAAATCATGTTAGTGAATTTAATCAGCCAAAAGTATAATCGTTTGTTCTTATGGATTGATTTATTATTACTTTGTTTAGTTTAGTATTGTAAACACGAAATGAAGCTTTTTTTATGAGCTTATCCTATAAGGTATATGAACTTCTAACATCTACCATATTTGAACTTTTAATAGAATGATTTGACATAATTCATAGTCTATTTTGTTTAAATAAACTGATTTTTTTATCCGAAAATTGTTTGGACCAATAATGATAGAGAAATCACTAAGGAAAAGTTAATTTATTACATAGATGATAAGAAGTTGATCAATTTTGTTTTTAAAATTAAAATGTATTTGTAAATTTTCAAAATCCATGTTGGTGTAATTGTACTTTTACTTTAAAAAAGCTAGTTTTCAAAAATTTGAAAACAGAGATTAGTTTTCAAAATATATATAAAATTTTTGGATATTAAATCAAATTTCCAATTTGTATATATGTAGTTGCATTTTTTATTTAACAAAAAATGAACAATATATGATGAATATTGCATCTATGTCTCGACGATGAAACTAACAGCTCCAAAAAAATATACCAGTCTCCCTAAAACCAAGTAATCCCCAATTTGAGACCAACAATGATCCCAACCTGACGCCATTTAGTTCGTTTTGGACATGATAAATTGATAATTCATCTGATTGTAAATCACATATCAAATGATGAATAGTACTTAGATATTTCAGTGCCCTTCAATACATTATCAATCTACAGAATCGCAAGAAGGAGATTCTATATTAATAATAACATGATTCTATAGTTGCGTTACATTTGAACACAAACCAAAGCCAAATTATTTATTTCTGGTTCCTACACAATGGCTAGTTTCTCTTGGAATAAAATTTATTATTTATGAATTGATAAAACACTATTTCCCCATCTTTGTAATCATAATAATCCAGAGTCAGTTCTCTTTCCGAAATATCGAACTTCCAACTCTATTCCCTTCAATTGTTTCCCCTCCTTGGCTGCAATTTCTAAAACACACAGACAACAGAAGATGAGACAAAGAACCAAAATAAAAGAAGCAATGGTGGTAACAAGTGATTCTTAATTTTTGCTTTTTACCTTGAGCCACCTCGAAGTCGTGGTCCATCTTCTCAATTTCCTTTCTCGTATTATTTTACTTCCCGGAAAAGAAAAAAGAAAAAAACAGAAGCTGATTAATTCGTCGGAAAACCAAAAAAGGGAAGAAAATCTGTGTCTATTTTTACATACCAATTTCATATCCCACACATGATACTGTTAAAAAAAAGATAAGAATCCGAGAACTTTCACTCTTTGCCCCCTTCAACTCTGCAATCAAAGGAACAATCACAATCCGAGTATACAAATTTCATAGATTTTGGCCGGATAAACCGGAGACACGACCGGAAAGGTTAATGGGAGACAAAGCTGGCGGAAAAAAAATGTTTACCAGAGACAAAACGCCCAAAAAGAGAGGCAAAGAATAACACAAAGAGCATAAACTTTAAAAACTATACAAGGTAACTCCGAATTGAATTCCAATAGTCATGGCTTAATGTTAAAGAACCTGATCGAGGATAAAATTGACCAAAGAGCTATATCCTAGCAATAGCTTCAAGGCAAGATTCAAACATGTTTTGGTACTCGTATCTACTGGTTTTTGATGAGTAACAGCAACAAAAGGAATCAACTTCAAAACTTAAAACAAGCCATAAAGATCGAAGGGGAAAACGGAAAAAAATCAGCCTGACTAGTACCAAGAAAAGGCAAATGGAGCTGCTTCAAAAGGTAACGGTAAAGCAACAGCAACAAAAGGTGAAGGAAGCTGCTTCACAACTCGAAAACACTTGTCCAATAACCAGATTCACGATTGGCCAAAGAGGAAAAAACAAGCAACAGCAACAAAGAAACAAACTTTTTTTTTCAAAGAAACAAACTTTTATTAGCAGAAATTTAAAACAAGCCATAAAGTGCGACAAAAACGAAAAACAGCCAGACTAGTGCCGACAAAGCATCTCCGGGAGCAAAAGCCACACAGTGACCGATTCGATCCAAATCTAACAACTCAGAACGATTTTTCCGAAAACTTACGACAAACATGGCAATCAAAGAAGAGGACCTGATTCCGGCGGCGGCGAAGAGAGCAAGCCAACCGCCGGAATCAACAGATCTGGTTTTAGAGAGAAAGGAGGAGAAAGGAGAAAAGAACGATTGTTACCATTGTTGCTAGACTGTGAGGAGAAAGCGCGAGGCTGGAGATACTTAATCGATCTCCCTCCATTGAAACACTGTAAATTCATTCTTTCATCAATGGATCGATCACACAAAGTATGAAAAAAAGAAAACAAAAACTATCAGATTCTCCGACTAACCTGAGCAACGACGGTTCTCAAAGCATGACCGGGGAACTTTGGGGTTTCTTACTTAAATAAATTAACAAGATATATTTAAATAAATTATATTCCCGGGTCCTTTCTCTCTAAAACCAGATATATTTTTTTTTCTAGATGGTGAGAGCTAGATTTCTCACAATTGAGTCTGGCCTACAAAACCTAGAAAAAAAATATATTTAAATAAATTATACTTTAAATAATTGAATAATAATATCAGACCAAAATGCAGGATTCAGCGCACTAATCCATTCACAGACCAACTAAGTATCGCCTCGAACGTGTGAACTAAGCGAACTCCAAACTCTGATATATTCGATCAAAGTCAAAAATATTCCTCTAACAATTCAAAATCGTTGCAGAGATCATGGAAACAGTGTAACACGAAATGACCCAAAATACATGATGGTAGTTCGAATTCCGAAGAAAAGTATAAAAAGAGCTTGCAAGCATACAAAGAACACAATCTTTTCCTCCGAAAAAAACTTAAAATTATAGTTATCTTTTTGTATTCCTTCTCTTCAAGAAATCCTGAATTCATCTCCGATAATTCAATAAAAGTCCAATTTTTTCAATACATTTCTATACTCGATCGATTCAAAAATAAATCTGGTCCATCGTTATAATCTTCCCTAAAACTATATACAAATTTCTGAGTGTGGATTTTCGCAACCACACAAATGAGCTTGGGCCTGATATTTTGTTTGTGGGCCTCCCTTGATGCTTGAAGTATTATCATCACAAAGTTGTCGTGAGCAAGCTAACAAGTAACAAGTTGTTAGTAAATTCCAAAACAAAGTACAGGTTCAGCCTTGAAAGAGTTTATTATGATAGAAAATGAAAAGTGAAATAGGTCATGAGGAGCTTTTTTTTTCTTTTTATTGATCACAAACTGTAGGAGTTCTGGGTTTTCGGCACATAATCTCACCTAGTATTCGGAGTCATCATTTATATTAGCTCTATATTATTGGTTTAGTTTGGTTAAGCTTCCTTTCACTTAACCATACTAATATATAAAATATAAATGACACACTTTACAGAATTAATGAGAAAATTACTTTCTCTCTTTAAAGTATTAATATGGTATCAGAGCGAAGTGAGAGAAACTTTTCCGGTTAACAACCTTTTTTCATTTGAGCTTTAATGGCGTTTTTTTCTTCGATCTCTTAGCTTTGATTTATTCTCCTCTATGATCTCAAATGCTTATAATGAGTGCTTCGAAGATTAAGCTCTTTTTCTCTTCGTTGCAAACCTCCTTTCACATTTTCTTGATTTCTTTCTGTCTTTTATCACCTTGATTTTCATCAAAGTGAGCTTCGATTGTTGCTGATTCTCTCATTCCCAGCACATTCGATTCTTATTCTTGTTCGTTTTTGCATTGAATCGTTCGAATTTCATCTCCAATTTCTTCGCATATTGCGATGACTCCAGTTACTCAAACTTCGTCGACGGACCATTATGAGAATCCGTACTTTCTCCAAAGTTTGGATCATGCCGGACTTGTTCTCGTCTCCGATCGTCTCACCACCGGTGCAGAATTTCACTCCTGGCGTCGATCCATTCGAATGGCGCTCAATGTTCAGAACAAGCTGGGGTTTATCGACATATCAATCAAGAAACCTGAAGAAGGTCACCGTGACTCCGGATCTTGTTCAAGATGCAATGATATGGTTGCGACTTGGCTCATGAAGTCTGTTTCCAAGAACATTGGACAGAATCTTCAATTCATCAATACTGCCGAAGGTATCTGGAAAAATATCGCTTCTCGTTTAAGCAAGATGATGCTCCTAGGGTGTATGAAATTGAACAACGTCTGAGTTTTATCCATCAAGGTTCTTTAGATGTTAGTTCTTATTACACAGAATTGGTAACACTCTGGGAAGAATATAAAAATTATGTAGATCTCCCTGTTTGCACTTGTGGAAAGTTTGAATATAATGCAGCTCAGCTATGGGAACAACTGCAAGATCGTAGCCGTGTTACCAAGTTTCTAATGGGATTAAATCAGTCATATGAAGCAACTCATTGTCATATTCTGATTTTGAAGCCTATAACGATTATTGAAGATGCATTGAACATGGTTGCTCAAGATGAACGTCAAAAGAGTCTTAAGCCACCAACTTCTTCAGAGAATGTTGTTTTTCAGAGTTCCGATTCTTCAACGATTTCTCAAGAGTCTACATATGAAATGGATCCAGCTGCTTATGCTATCCAGAACACTTACAGGCCTAAGACTCGACCTGTTTGTACACATTGTGGCCAAATGGGTCATGTCATCCAGAAATGCTTCAAACTTCATGGATATCCCCTGGATACATTCCTGGATTCAAGAGTGCTCAATCTTGTTATGATCAACATCAACGACCATAAAAATTCCAGTCTCCATCTACATTTCAACCTAGAGGATCTTCTCAGAGTGGTTTTCCACCTCAGAATGATTTTCAGTCTCGTGGAAGGCTTGAAAATCCTTCTCAACCTCTTGCTGTTGCGAATGTAATGGCTAACTTGATATATCATGGTTTTTAACCATGGTATAGGTCTTATTTATAGAGTCTTTCTAGTGTTTTTCGAGTCTTTACAGGTTTTAGGTACGTTTGGAGCTTAACTGGAAAATTTGGAGCACTTTGGAGCTTAATCAGGATCAAGTTCGTGAAGAATGAATTATGTGCTTTAGTGTCGCTCGACACCATGGAGAGTGACGCTCGACACCGATCGAAGAAATAAGGAAAACGCGATTTTGTCTCCTATTTGAAGAAGGAGTTGGGCCCAGAAGTTTCCAAATATTTCCTAAAAAGCCCAAAACGTGTTTTTAAGTTATAAATAGGGTTTTTAGCCACCTTATATCGATACCTTAGATTTTCTTAGAGAGAACTTTTGTTTTTGAGAGCTTTTGGGGAGACAAGTCTAAAACTCTGTTCCGGAGAGAGAAGATTTCAAACCCCTGTTTATTAATCTATTTACTGTTTTCTGCAATCTATTCATACATGTTCATTGTTTCAATTTCCATGTCTGAGTAGTTTTCTTGTTAGGGTTAGGGTTCTCATAAAGGATTTCTTTGGATGTTAGATTGATTGGTTAATTAGGGTTCATAATCTATTTAGTTCTTCACCATAGGTTGTTCTTAAAGCTAATTCTGGACTGGCCACCTAGAATTTAGATCTTAGGTTAATTGATTGACACGGAAGTGTAATTGAATAACTAGAAAGAACCTAGGGTGAGCAAAGTAGCTATTCGCAAAGGAATTTGGTTTAGATACTTTGTGAACATATCGAACTTGAGCATTAAATCTGGTTTAAATCTTTAGGGTTTGCAAAGGAATTTGGAATTCTAAGATTTAGACTTAGATAATTCTCGCAACGGAAGTTGGTTAATTATAATTTCGTGATTTGAGTTCAAGAACCGTGCTTAACCCTGAACCCTGATTTATCGATTAATCTGCATTCTCTGATTTCCTGAGAAATACCCTGAGCCTAATTCTTTTCCATCGAGTTTAAAACCGTTTTGCTTTCATTGTTGCTTTTAATTCCATTGGGTTTTCTTAGCGTAATTCAAGCCTATAGAGTTTATTGAGCGAATCTCTCGTCTCTGTGGTTCGACCCCTATTATACTACAACTGACATATGTGCTCTTGCAGAGTACCTTAGGGATTAAAATTTGAGCAGATCAAGTTTTGGCTCCGTTGCCGGGGACTTGATTTTCGCCATTAGACTTTAATTCTTGAGTTTTGACTAGGTTTTCTTAGTGTCGAGCGACACCAGCAGTGGTGTCGCGCGACACCCGTTGTTTTTCTTAATTTTATTTTTACTTTATTACTTACATTGTTCTTTCTCTTTGTCTCAGAAACTAGCAAAGATGGAGAACGCACTGGCATTGGTTCGTGATGATGCTGGAGTCTGGAGAGACCAAGAAGGTCATGTGTGTAATGAGAGAGGCCAGCGACTTGATGGAGAGGGTAACATCATCAGAACGCTGGGTGACTACAACAGGCCTGAGCAATTCTATGCAAATCGGTCCGTGATTCGCGCTCCTGCGTTTCAGAGGAACGATTTTGAGCTCAAACCTGTGTATTACACTCTTTTGGGTCAGCATCCTTTCCATGGTTTTTCTCATGAGCACCCGATGGATCATATTGAGAGGTTTGAGGACTTGGTCACCAGCATCAAGTACAATGGAGTGTCCAATGATTTCCTCTTCTGTAAGCTGTTTCCATACTCTCTTGCTGGAGAAGCAGCTAACTGGTTGAAGTAGTTGGAACCTGGTTCGCTGACTACTTGGGAGGAGACCAGGAACGCCTTCCTGCATAACTTCTATGATGATGCCAAGTCTGAGGAACTGAGACTCAAAATCTCAACGTTTTCTCAAGGACCAACTGAAGCATTCAAGGCTGCTTGGGTGAGATTCAAGTCGTACCAGCGAGATTGCCCCCATCATGGTTTCAGTGATGTTCAGCTGTTGGGTGTTTTCTTCAGAGGTGTTGATTGGAGGTATCAGATGGGTCTTGATGCTGCAAGCAATGGGAACTTCAACACCAGATACCCTGAAGACGCTGTTGTGCTTATTGAAAATTTGGCATCTAGCAATAGTACCAAGAATGCAGACTATCAGCGAAGGAAGCAGGCTGAAAACATGGATGGATCGCAGATTGCTGAGGTGAAGGCTAAGCTAGACTCTGTGCATAGCCTTCTTGTGGGTAAGAAATCTGTCAGATTCCCTGCAGAAGTTAAGAATTTCGAACCAGATGAAGCACTTGAGGAAGATTATGTTAACTTCATCAATGGAGCTGGATTTCAAGGTCAGAGATTTGGTACTCAGCAAGGGAACACAAATTGCAATGGAAATAATCAGAGGAGTACATTCACAGGTAATCAGAACTCTTCTAGTTACAGCTCCAAACCTCAGTACCAGACATCCTACTCCAACAACAGTTTTTCAAGGAACTATGGTTCTCCTCCTACGCAAACTCCTGATAATGAGGTGAAGTCTATGCTGGAACAGATCCTAGAAGGTCAGCAGAAGATGACTGTGGACTTTAATGGGAAAATTGATGCTTTGTATCTGGATCTGAATGAAAAAATTGAAGTTCTGAACACTCATATCAAGAAGCTTGATACTCAGGTTGCTCAGACTGCAGAGTCTGTAAAAAGGCAAGAAGG